GCTGAGTCCTCCCTAGCCCCCCCCTGGTTCCGCCACTGGTACATGGTGCTATTAATAGGTATATTAAAGATATTCAACTGGATGGTACAATAGATAAATTAATATTCAAACCTTCTACTGTAGCAATAAATAGTTCTGACATTATTAATGATCAGATGAATGAACTTAGTGCTTTTATGAGTGAAATAGAGGATGAATATGAGGAAGAAGAGAAAATTGAAGACGAATACAGCTCGTAATACAGCAAGGTCTACCCTGCTCTATAGACATATAATTGGCTTTTGTTAAGTACTTTTATGCATATTATACCATCTGTTTTATGTAACATGAATTTCATTCCGGCAGGGCATATATTACTTTTCTTTTTTCTGCTTCTTTTTTATGTGTCTATTCTATATTGTATTGTTTCAGGTTATCAGATACTCCTATGTAATAGCACACTATAATTCCTTAGTATAATATTAGAATAAAACTTAATGGGAACATACTCTGAACTCCTACTATTGATTGTTCGGACTGTAGTAGCTTCAGCTTATGTGCTTGTTACAAAAATATCAAACCTTAATGATACTACCCAGGTCGAGCATTACGACGGCTAGATACAGCCGCAAACGGCCGTATACGCGGAATTTACGATCGTATATGGGCCGTATTTTAACGTTTTGGTATGCGCCGTATATCGCTGTGTCGTATACGACAGAACACAGCGACTGTTTAGGAGCCGTATACAGTCGTATCATAAACAGAAAACAACCAAGCGCTGCCTCAGAAAACAAAAAAGGTGTCATACTAAACCTTCTAAGGTTCTAGATGTGGGTACCATTTTCAAAACCATTTAAGGCTCAAGCAAAATCTGGTTCTAGCTGGAACATTTCCCTATTTCTTCCAAAAATGGTTCTAGAGTAGTAAAATGTAGCCCACCACACTCAATTAGTCTAGTACTCCAAACTAATCTTTTATCCAACCGTTAATTTCATATTTAATCCCTTATTCCTAACCTTAACCCTTATTTCCATGTGTTATGTTTACCTAGATTTGTTGTGGGTAGAATACGAGCTAGTACTTCCTCCGTTATTCGCACGAAAGCAGCATCGTCGTTAGTTGTTGTTGAGACGATCGTAAACAAAAAAAAAGAACAGTGCCTTATATTGTAAGATTCAACTTACCATTAAATAAATTATTCACATATACCTAAAATATTTAAAAAACACTAATTCATTTTATCATATAAAATTTGCATTTGAATTGATTATTCATACATACCTAACTGAGACCGAAATCGAATCGAATCGAATGATACTGCTAGAAAAGAGGTCGAATCAAATTGAATCAATTTATTTTGTGGTCGAATCGAATCGATTCATTTTTTTCAGTTTCATTCGGCTATTTAAAATCATTTTCTTTGTTCTGGTGTTATGGCCGAGGGCAGTTGACTAGTATAAGAGATGACGCATGAAAAAGGACGCCCACTGTTTCTCTTTCTTTGTCTCTGTCAGTCGTGCTTATTTAATGATCATCCTTGTTCTGTTCATATCGTTATCATGACCAAGTGCATTTTGATTGGCATAAGAAATGCTCACTTACAACGAGCGTTCCATCTTTCTTTCTTTTTTCGTTAGTCAATTTAGGCCCCAATCACACGAAGAAGTAAATTAACATTATAGTTGAATTAAGCCATGTGACTGGTGCATTAAGAGTTAAGTAATACTTTAGAGGTGATTTTAACTCTTAATGTATCAATTAGATTACTGAATACACTTAAATAGAATAGATAAGAGAAGAAGAATGGAATGATTGTAAACGTGAGAGAATGAAACAGAGAGAAGAAGAGAGAACATACTTATGAAAGGACAGATATGTCCTGACATAACAGCACATATGGGGAACATCTTTCAGATTCACTCACATTTTTAAAATAAACTTCATCTACGATCAATAGAGAATCTTTTTTTTCAACTATTGTAAATGCTCAATAGCTCAGTTGAACGATAATCATTTGTTCATGAAAATAGCTTCTTAGTGACGATATGCCAAAGACTGACATTCACATACTTTGCCTCACTCATATGTGTAGCATAGTAATGTACAACGACGAGTTTTTTTTAGACTTGTAACGTGCGTTCCCCAATTGTTTTGATCCTCATCATAGACAAACACATATACCACGCCATGTCTTTCTTCAAAAATATTTCCATCTAAACTTATTTGATATTTGATCGGTCGAACTCATGTTTAAGTGATTCCATCAATTAAAATGCTCTCAAACTTCAGCAACTTTCGGGCAAAACGAACAAATTTGAATTAAAACAACAAAGTTTCTGCAATAGTCGCCCGATCAATTGAAAAGTGGTTGCATCAGATAATTGTGACTATCCTATTTACTAGCATATATCGTTATTGAAAAATTAGGTATGATTATCGGTTACAGAGTGCAACACGACGTTAATCTTCCGAATTGCATCCACATTCAATAATACTCGACATTGACACAAAGAAAATAGCAGGGTAGTCGAATATATAAGAGAAGAGCAGATCTTGTTGAATGCAACTCCCAACACGTTATGATCGTATTCATGCTTCAGATGACTGAACGTCATGCTTGCCAAGACTGTGCCCAGAATGTTGCTCAAACGTCTAAAACTCTGGTTCGCACAGTTTATGGCTCTTCTTATAAGTAAAGAAAACGTTGCAAGCCGATGATTGATGAACTAGCATTCGAATTGACATGCATTGTATAAAATTGCTTTTATGCAAAACCATAAATAACAATAAGAAATTCAGTGGCATTCTTTAGTGAGGATCAACTACGAGCGATCTATCGTTTTGTGCTCTTCGACTAGAAACCAATCGGTAGCGGCGACTTCAAATATCATTATTTATTCTCCTACGATGAAGCAACACGGATAGGAATATTGAATTTTATCGAATCGGTCTGGCTGACCTCACTTGGTAAAAATTAAATAAAAAGAGCAGTCAACATTCAAAAAGTGTTCTCGAGCTAGTATACTTCTAGCTACGAACAAAATCTTGTTCAACGCTCCTATCAACAGCGCTACCATATTTATTCAACAAAAACAAATATTTTTAATTACAATTTTGTTCGTATCAACTGATTGAATATACAAATACTTAATTGATACCAATAAAATTCAGTTGGAAAGTGTCAATCCAGATGGCAAAGAAAACAGGCGGATTTTCATCTACGCGAATTCCAAGATAAGCATTGGAAATGTCGTATAGAATGATGCCATTGATTAGAACAGCACAAAATCATGTATCATCACCATGTTTGGTATGTTCTTGTTCAAACCAAGGACATTTGAGTGTTGCCCAGTTACCACCAGGACGAATTCGATCACCAAATAAGTCGACAAAAAGTAGGCCATGTTGAATTCTACGAACAGCGTTACAGTCATGATCGACAGGCTAAAAAAGAGAAAATTGCAAGAGAACCTTTTCTTAATACCATATTGATTATTGTATTCCAGTTGGCATCTTCATAAAGAATTACAATGATGAAAGAGGTCCCTTACCTGAAGCCGTAATCGGATGCGACATGTTAGGTTGTAACGACCTGGAAGTAGATCAGCCCAAGTATGGGCTGATGCAGGGTATAGGCATGTTAAACAAGGGAAAACTGGTAATGGGCAACATGCTGTGACACAAACACTACCATCTGCCTCAGCCACTACTGGTAATCGTTCGTGTTCAAGCATTGTATCATTCTCCCATAGCATATCTCGCACAGCCACATGGCGACGCCGATCAATCAAATAGGCATATATAATCGCTTCTATCGCTGTTGCTATTGTCGTCTTGTGAAGCCTTGAAAGAAGAAAACCATGTTCGTATCAGTAGAATTATCAGGAAACCAACCAATAAATGCGCCATTGATTGGTATGACCTTATCATCTTTTATATAAAATATCTCAACGAAGCTCATCTCTTCAAAGTTCTTTGTCGAAACTATTATGACTGTGGGTCTATGCGTTTAAACTTATCAAATATATATATTGTAAGTAGTCTATATCGATGTTCACCTACTCTGATGGGCAACAACAACTGTCATGGATATGCAGAAGAAAATGATATCAAACGAACTGAGTCGTTATCATCGATATATTCTACTAAAATTCAGATCGAGAGAGATCCTAGCAATCCATCTGTCCACTACGCTTATGTCAATCCTGTCTTTCGTGCGCGGCTGTTTAACTCTTTGCGTTCTCTACTATGTGAACTGGTGTGACGAAACACTCTATCTTCAAACAGCACTGATGGTCCAAATTATGCAACGCTTACCGATGATAATATACACGAAAGAGTTTGGCGAACAATGGAATATGAGAAGTCAAGAGCGGCATCGAACCTGGGCGAAAGCATCGTTCATAAGCAAGAAAGCCACGCATTGTGGGCCCAGATGAAGTAAAACGACCGTATCAGGTGCGGCTACGAGGACGAGAAGAAACAGTAAGAAACTGGTCGAAGGCAAGTTGATATGCAGTAGCTTCGCAAGAGAGTCTTTTAACAAAATGGTCATTCTCGATACTGACGGCATCACCATCATCATCTTGATCTTGATCGAGCAAAGTTAGAATTAATTGAGAAGAGAAGGTGGACGAACAACATTGGATGTGAATCAAATGAGGCCAGAGTGGCGAGCCATATGACCAGACCACAACATATGACGCAATGTTCGACATGTCGATGAGAGTTGAGCAATGTCCGAAATTGATAAGTATTCACAAACAAAAAACCAACATAAATCGGGAAATTTCGTTGACCAATCCATTATCTACAAAAGACAAAAATACGTTACAAAAATGTTTTGAGTGCGCTAATCAGTGTTGAGAGAAAATGTCGTGACGATCACACACGGTGCATGTCCAGTTTAATCCTCACACAGTAACCTCCAAAATTCTTCAAATTTCAAGCGTTTCATAATAGAGTCATTTATTAAAAGTAGTTTAGCTTCATTGGTTCGTTCCAGAGCTCGGACGCATGTATTTTTACTAGTACTTTTTCAAGTAAAATTATAAGCCTCAAGTACTTTTTTCTTGCTATTTATGCACTCGCTTGCCCATAATAGAAGACTCGTAGTCTTCTATAATGTCTCATCGTAAAAATGTTCAAGGGGCTCTTCTATCAAGTCTAAATTTCCCCCCAATATTCAATTTACAAGGTTTTCCAAAAATCCAAGGCGACTTTTAGGATTATCAAGATTTTCGGAGTGTAGATATAATTTTGAACTTGCTTTCTCAATATTTCTAGCTCACAACCCAAAACATTATGCATATTTTGATAGAAAATTACTAATTAAAGTTCCTAATTAGCACAAAATTAATGAATTAGGGGAGCTCCTATTACATCCGACGGTATTTTTCTCCACGAGTCTTCCATATGCGGGGGGGGGGGGGGGGGGTGTTATTGTGGCAAAA